AGGACAATATCAAGGTAATTCTTGACTTTGGCTCTCATTTTTGGTAGTATTTTTGTTTGTTTAGCTATTTCTATAGTGGTTGAAGCTCAGTGATTTTAATGACTTGGATTTTAAGTCTAGAAGTTGTTTTCAAGAAAATTGAGAAATTTTGTATAGGAGCTTTCTTATTTTTTCTATTTAACATAAACTTCATTGATTTTCAAATAAAGTCGTAAATTTTTAATGTTTTTATTTAAATATAGTAAGTATGTTATTTTTTTCTATTTAAATATGTGAATTTTGTCAAATATTTTCGAATTTTGTGCACCATATCTGCCTGGTAAAATTGAAAAAAAAAAAAAAAAAAGAACATATGATCACTTGTTTCCCCCCATTCACTCTTTATGGATCAGGTGTTTTGATTGGTGGAATATTATGTATGTTTTAGTCAATAATTGTGGGGAGGTGTTTAAGCAACACCAAAAGTTGTTTGAGTTTGTGCTAGTGAGATCTTTCTATTGGCTAAGTGGTGTATGAAAGACTGGGATGCTATTGCTTTATGCTGTCGTCTTTGTGTTTTGATCACCGTGCACATTTTGGAATATTTTAGAAGCTTTGAGGGGGGAAAGCAAGGTTTTGAAAATTGGACCGGATCGGTCGGTCAAACCGGTTGAACCGATACTCGGTAGTATAAATGATTCGGTTTTATCTTTTAAACCGTTTGAAGATCAAACCATTTGAAAACCGATAAGAACCGTTGGAACCACTCAAACCGAAAAACTGTTCGACCGGACGGTTCAATGCTTGAGAACAAAAGCTTGAAAAATTTGTCCCCCATGAAACTTGAACTTGCAACCTTGAAGTCCTTTTAGTTTATTCCAACCCTTTGCCACCAGGACAATGTATTTTATTTGTCAATGGATGCTTGAAATTTTATTTAGTCTATTTTTAAAACCATAATTATTTAAAGTTTGTTCACAAGGGTACTCGAACCTGTGATCTTTGGTATGAAAAAGCAACCGCCTACCATCGCACTCAATGAATATCTTATGAAATACTTTACAAAATAATATATTTATACTATATTAATGAACCGACGGTTTTACAACCGATCAAACCGTGAACCGGAGGTCAAAACGGTTTGACCTCCTGTTCGGGTTTAAAAACATTGGGGGAAAGGGATTTTTTTTGTACTATTTCACCAATCTTTTAATTACAATTGGTGAGGTTATTTGTTAAAGGTTGGATTTGTAAACCCCTTATCCTCCCTTTAGTAAATTCCTGTCCTTCAAAACTATCAAGGGTCACCTCGCTCTGCCTTCCTATATATGCCACAATCATTTGGTACCCAAACACCTCAAATACTTGCCCTATAATTTGTTCATTTTTCTGTCACTAAAATTCAATTCTCAAAAAAGACATTACTAATGCACCCTCGACGGTATAGATAAAAGTTTGTTGTTTTCTCATGCCTTTGCCCTCTACTCCTCTTGAAGAAAATGTAAGACGCAACCCGTGCCGGCGTGTGAGACAAAGTCAACTTGACCTATGAGGTCATGATAAAGGTACATTCTTTGACTTTAGTTTTCTTTTGAAAAGTAAATTGTTCTCTTTTGTTTCTTAAGAGATTAATTACTACATTCCCATACATGTCTTTGCCTTCTGCGCGTATGAAGAGCGGAGCAAAAGAAGGGAGTTCAGGGGAGTGTGGCAAAAAGGGATCGATAGGTGGGCTGCTGAAATACGTGACAAATATGGTTAACAGACACTGGCTTGGCACGCACTCCACTAAAGAAGAGGCTGCCCTTGCATACGATGGAGGAACGATAGAGAAGCGATAGAGCACTGCCGCTCCGATGTTAAACTAAACTTCCCCAAACCAAACTTCCACAAACCATGTGAAGGTAACATCAGATCAGTTGTTTCCCTGCCTCCAGTGTTGGAGTGCTGGAGTTATGGAGTTAATTGTCTTGCTTTGCTTCTATTTTCTTTTTCTGATCCAAGTTAATCAATTTTGTCCGAAACTTGCAGAAACGCTAAAAAGAGAGTACAAAATCGATGTAAAGGAAGCTCGTAGTAAAAGACCCCCTGCCGATCTGATTTGCCCTCCTCCAGTGAAAGACGCCCTCCCAAGCCCAGCCTTGCCCAGCCTGACGTACCCTCTTCCAGTGAAAGAGACAGCCTACCAAGCACTGCACTCTCATTCCCCACACTGCCAAGCCCGATTTGCCCTCCTCTAGCAAAAGATGCCCTCTCATTCCCCACCCTGCCCAGCCTGATTTACCCTCTACCAGTAGTGCTGTAGTTAGTAAGGAACGGTCAAGTGATGCAAAGTCCAGTATCGAGATGAAGGAAGCTTTCCATGAAGGGAAAAATTTGAGCTCATCCTGGCTGCAGGGGAAGCTCACCCAAGTCTTTCGCAGGAGGCTACATGTGTTCGTTGCCGACCTAATGCAAGAGAGTGCAGGAGCAGTTTTGAATGCGTTAGTAAAGGCAGTTAGTAGATCGAAGCTTCCATTCTCTATCTTTTGCCCGTATTTGCTTCTTTGTTTCTTTTAACTATCACATCAAGAAAAGATACAATAAGGATATCAATTTTTTATTTTTTATTTAAAAATATTAATTTTATTAATTTTTACATAAAAATTTTAATTTTTAATTTTTTTATATTTAAAATTTTTAATTTTTAATTTTTTTCTATTTAAAAATACTAATTT